AAACAGAAGCTTGTCAGATGAGGGTTGAGGGATGGTATCTATTAATATCATGATAAATCATTTTGAGATGGTTTATCACTATGTCCATTGTGTAGCATAATAGTAGTATGTTCTCCCTGGGGGCCTATGATGTGTCTGTCCGTAAGTTCTTGGCCTGGTAACAGTGCCAGGTATGGGTTTCATCTTGTGGATTGGGATTTAAATGGCATTGAAAAGTAGTTGATAAGGTCAGCCTGGTCTACAGAGCAAGTTCCAGGAAAGCCAGGGCTACAAAGAGAAACTCTGCCTGGAAAAAAAAAAAAAAAATAAGCAAGCAAAAGTAGTTGATTGCTCCCATGATGTTCATGCCACTGTTGCACTAATGGGCACATCTTTACAGGAGCCATTGTAGCTTGCAGGGTTTACAGCTAGGTGAAATTTATCACAACCCTTCAGTGACCACTGCCAAGGATTGCAATAAAATTCAGATTCAACAGAACCAGGGGACTCCAGGGGATTCTTGCTGCATAACAGTGCTTTTACTAGCATTCTGGGTGGCTTTTATTCCAGATAGCTTGAAGTTCAAAGCAGGAAGAGAGAAACATGGAACATTGTACAGACTAGTTTTCATCACTATTCCCAGATGTGCTCAGCTATAGAAGGTCTCATGGATGAGTGTGGCTGTTTGCCTGAGGCCCTTGAGCAGGCTAAACTGAGGAAGGGGAGGGAACATCTTGCCTGTGGCATTCCTTGGGCAGGTGGAGACATTCCTCCAAGGGGAATAAACAGTTCTATGGGAACAGGGTTCACACAGCAGGAGATTGTAGGAAAGTCTGTCACATGCTGGCTACTAAGATTGATGGTTCCTTGTTTCTTCTGATAGTGTGCATAGCCCCATCCAGCACTATGAAAGCTGGATAGTAAGGGATGAAGAGTACCAGCTTGATTTTGCCATCTTCTATGATTCAGTCTTGTGGTGTTGTCAGTAATAGGTGTTACCATGGAGTTCTGGAGGGTGACCAGGAGCAATGGCAATGCCAGCAACGATTGCTTAGCCTGAAGGAACAGATGTATTGCAAACCCCAAGGTTCAGGGATCATTATAGAAAAGGGATAGAAAGCCAGAGGTGGTTAAAAAAAAGGTTATAACTAATATAAGAAAAACTATATACAATATTTATAACAACTATATACAATATATACAAGCAATAAGTACATCAACGATGTCTAGTTCATTAGCATTTGACAAATTCAGAGAAAATACTCTATTATCCTTTCTTGGTGAGACCAAGGTCTTGTACCTAATTTACTTTCTACTCTAATTTGCATATAAAATTATCTTTTACTGTCTTTCAAACCTTTTACACTTAGCACATCTTTAGTCAGTTTCTTTTCTGAGTCTTGTAAACACGGAAAACTGTAACTATACTATCTAGTCTTCAGTTTTCTCAGAGACCAGAGAAGGAAATATTAATTGAGTAAGCAGGAAGTGCAAGAAAGTGACTTCCAAGAAATGCGAGAAATGAGAGAAACAGCTGGCTGCCTGGACAGTCACCCAAATTACCTGTGTAATGTTGGGACATCTGTTGTTGGCCTATAGGCCTAGCATTTCTGACAGACTTACCCATGAAGCAGGATAATCTGAAGGACCGGACCACCTTGTCTCGGCAAGGTTTGCAGTTGCACTTTTTGGTGTCCTGCTTGTCCAATTTGGACAGTATACTGTCAGCAGTTGAGGCATGGGTACTTCCTACACAGTGCTTAACTTTACCACAAAGAAAGTAAACTCCATGTGGAGTTTCTTCAATGCCCATCATCTTCTCCAATGTAGATTTATGCTGCCAGGAGCAGACATGTCTCATTGTCATTAAAAAAAGAACCTGTGTATTAAAACATATTAAATGCCATATCCTGTAGATCTCTGAAGTGTTTGAAGATGATGCATCTTTATAAAATACATGTTTGATCTTGTAAACATACCTAATATGACTACAAGTTCGATTTTAATAGTTGACTAATTGCTAAACTGCATTTCTTTTTTATCCAATATAGCTGATACTAATAACTTTTGAGGGTTAGAAATTTTCATTACATTGTTAAATGAGCTGTATAGGTACAATACCTTGAACAAAATTAGAAATGTATGTACAGTATGTTTTAACAAAATTAATCTCAAATTTGTATCAGTATTCAACATTTGTATACAATATATAAAACTCCAATCCAATGTAAAATATTTAAAAGTAATAGTTGCTTTTTAACAGTGGATTCAGTATTCTACCTTTTTATCTTATCCTTCCTTTTCTATTTTCAGAGTAGATTCTATAATCTACCCTTATTATCCTGTCATATCTGTATTCCTCTTTTGTTTTTGTTTTTGTTTTTTTTTTTCAAAACAAAAATCTAGCCTAGAAAACTATTCCCACATTCCCCCAAAATGGATTATGGTTGTTTGTGTGTAGCATCTTGGTTATGATTTGTTATGGATAATGGTTAGGAAAAAAGCTAAACAACAGAGATTAGATTCAGGGTTCTAATTTAGAAAAGAAGGGAAAATGATGTGGGATAATGCTCTTGTTCACTGTAAAGATTTGTCCTCATATTGGTTTGATAAAATGCTGATTGGCCAGTCGCCAGGAGGGAAGCATAGGCTGGGTGAGTAGACTAGGAGAATTCCAGGAAGAGGAAAGGCAGAGACATAGTCCACAGCTAGACACAGAGGAAGCAAGATAAGAATGTCTTACTGAAAAATGGTACCAAGCCATGTGGCTACACATAGACAAGAATAACGGGTGAATTTAAGTTGTAAGAGCTAGCAAGTAATACACCTGAGAAATAGGCCAAACGATTTATAATTAATATAGCCTCTGTGTATTTATTTGGTATTGAATGGCTGCAGGACTGGGCAGGACAGAAACTTATGCTTTTACAAGCCTGCTTTCCTGGCTTATCCCAAAGCAGCTGCTCTGTATTTGGTTAGCATTGTGAAATGTTTCAGGTTCCCATTCCCATTGGAACAACAGCTGTGGACTGAGTCACCAGAGCTGGCTGCTGAGGTCATCATCCCAAGGCCCTAGATAAGCAGGACAACCCCCAAGTCATGGGGAGCTGCCCTTTTTTCCCAGGCCCCCTTATTCATTTAAGAGTTTAGTGACATTTCATACATTTTTGTTGTTATTCAGCTGTCAAGTTTATCCATCTTGAAAAATGAAATATTGTGCCCATTGAATAATAGTTCCTTATTGTCTGCTCACTCCAGCCTCACTCCACTGCCTATAAATTTGGTTGGTTACTCCAATTATGTGATTTGAATGGAAAGCCAATGTTTGTCTTTTTTGCTGCTTTATTTCACTTACAGTAAATGCCAAGATTTGTAGCATATTGTAACATGTTTCTTCTTTTAAGAAAATGTTTTGAAACATAGTCTTACTATATGGCTGGGCTGATCTTGAACTCCTGATCAGCTTGCCTTCATTTCCTTAAATGCTGGGGTTACAGGCATATGCCACCAGACTCAGAAGCTTCCTCTTTTGTAAGGCTGTCTTTCTAAGTGTACACATGTTTACACTTAATGCGCCTTGCTTTGTTTAACCATTCATCTCTTGATGCACATGTGAGTTGTTTTTCTCTTTTGAATATTATGGACAGTATTAATATATGTACAGATATCTTTTAGATGAAGCATATGTAAGTCACTAAAACTTCATCTGAGATGATGTTACATCTTTTCAAAGAAGTTGCTAACAGTGGGGTAGATGACTCAGTGGGTAAAAGTGCTCTCTGCATAAGCACGAGTATCAGAGTTCAGATCTCCATCCCTCTCATAAAAGCAGGAGTGATGTTTCATGACCAGAGTTTCAGTTTTAGGGGGACGGGGATAGAACAGCTTACTGGCCCGGCAGCTTAACCAAAATGTTGAGTGCTACATTCAGTAAAGACACCTTGTCTAAAAAAGAAGGTGGAGCACAATAGAGGAAGGTGTACACATTCACAGAATAAAGTAGTTATTATTATCATTAAGCCTATTTTCAAATAAGGAAACAAAGGCCTAGAGAAAAAAATAACTTATGTGCTTAGGTCCACGCAATATATTAAAATTCATTTTACTTCTTTTGTTTTAAAACAGTCTTATGTTTCCTAGGATAATCTCTTAACTCACGGTATAGTTGGGAGTGCCTTGACCTAATCCTCCTGCCTCCACTTCCTGAGTACCAGAGTTACAGGCATGTGCCATTATTTCAACTAATAAACCAAGTTTTAACCTCTACTCATAAGAAAACTAAACCCTGCAAAGGGGTCTTGCTATTTCTTATGCAGCAATTCACAAAGAACCACTTTTAATCTTTTGTAATGGTTATAAATGCATTTACTTTATGTAACCTGGCATGTAATAATTTTGCTAAATCATATGACATATTTCAAAATGAAGTAATTGAAACATGCATAAGTTAACTCATTGACTTATGCATGTTAGGCAAGTGTTGTACCTCTGAGCTGCTCTCTTAACCTGTTACCATTTCCTTCTAACAGAGTTCCAATTATTACTGTTGTTAATCTTTGTAATCTTAGTCTTGATTTTTGACTAACTACTATTTTAAAATGGCTTCTTATTGCTTTTGGTATATTTGTATCTCAACACTTGGAAAAAGGCAGGTATTTTATAGATTGCCTTTAGTTTTCTCTGTGTGCTACTAAGAATGTAGCTGGGGGGCTGGAGAGATGGCTCAGTTGTGAAGAGTACTTGATGCTCTTGCAGAGGACCCAGGTTTGATTCTAAGTACTCACATGGTAGCTCACAACCATTTGTAACTCTAGTACCAGGGGACTGGATACAGTCTTCTAGCTTCCTCAGGCCCCAGGCACTCCTGTGACTCACAGACATACATGTAGACAAAACAAGCATACTCATAAGATAAAAGTTAATAGACAAATAGGGATTTGACTGTATTGACTATCTAACTAGAAATACAAGTGCTTTTGCTCATTATATTTATTATTGAAATATTTTTTATTTTTTCTTAGTGGACAAGAAGTCTAAGAAATAAAGTCATCTGTCTAGACCACAAAAACAAAAAAGGTGTCCGTGGGCATCCTGTCACTTCTAAGGCATCACCAGAAAGGTAAGATAGGTGTTTATGTGTGACATAGAATGGCTTTATACAATGCATAAACAGTGAAACCAGGAGTGATTATTGGTGCTTGTTGAGTGTCAGCATTTAAGATAGAAGGATTTGAACTCAATGTCCTCTAAGGTTCCTTCTAAGCTTTGACTCTCTGTGATAATAGATTATTTTTACTAATTGTTTTGGTACATCTTGATAAGCTTTAGCTGATGATGTAAGGATTATAGACTGATGATAATTCTTGATTCATATTTGTTGACAGTGGTTTAAAAGGTATCTCATTCAGGTCTTTCGCCTTCTAGGGATATTCTAAGTCATATTCCCAGGGTGACTGATGTTTAGTTGAAGGGTTGTCTGCCTAGTGTGTTTGGAGTATAGGAAGCAATCACAGTACTGAGATCATTATAGGTGAAGGACCTGCCATTGTGTCTTAGGGTTACTAGCTAGGTTACATCATAGGTTGCTATAATGGAACACTATGACCAAAGCCAGCTTGGGTTAGAGGACTTAGTTGGTTTATGCTTCCATATTGCTGTTTATCATCAAAGGAAGTCAAGGCAGGAATCCAAACAGGACAGGAACCTGGATGCAAAGGCCATGGAGTGTGCTGCTTACTGGCTTCTTCCCCATGGCTTGCTCAGCCTACTTTTTTATATAACCCAGGACCACCTACCCAGCGGTGACCCCACCTACAGTGGGCTGGGGCTTTCCATGTCAATCACTAAGAAAATGCCCTACAAGCTTGCCTTTAGCCCAGTCTTGGGGAGACATTTCTCAATTCAAACTCCCTCTTCTCCAGTAACCCTAGCTTAAGTCAAGTTGACATAAAATTAAACAGCATACATTGGACTTTGAAGACTTCCTATTGCAGATAGGGGTGTCAGGTACATCCCTGGAATGTCAGATTTCTTGGACTCTGTAGCAGCAAACAGTAGTTAGCTCTAGAGTTTAATATATTCTTGGCCTCAGCCTCATGACTAAAAAGTTCCAATATTAATCCCAGTTGATAAGGTAACCCCTGGCCAGCTGCTTCTATAACTGCCTCCCTAGGTCCTCTCTGTGGTTGTTACCTTTCTCAGGCCCCCATGGTAGCACAATTTTTAATGATAGATAGGCGCTCTCTCAGGATGCCTTGTGGCAGCAGTCATCAAGTCAGGTAGTAGAAACTGGGATTTATCTTTGACCAAGTTCTGTCTTAACCAAAACTTGTACTGGGTTTGAGACTTGTGAGGACTTTGAGCTTGAGAGTGGGATTGCCCATCTCTCAACCTGTAGAAGTGGTTTCTGCTTCCCTCCCTGTGACAGGGAGCCCAGATGACCCTGTGTTTACCTTACTTCTCATCTGTTCGTTGTCCATCTTCTCCCCCATACCATTTTGATATCATTTCATCGCCTTTCTGGATTTCTGAAGCTCTTCTTCCCTTTGGCTAAAATGAAGGTAGCTTCTTGCCCATCATCTTCCCTAGATGCCCCAAGTACTCAATTTTGATAGTAAGATAATTTCTTACTCTTTTTGTTTTTTTCGAGTCAGAGTTTTTCCATGTGGCCTCACTGTCCTTGAACTCACTCTGTAGACCAGGCTGACCTCAAAGAGGTTCAGAGACCTCTGCCTCCCAAATGCTGGGATGAAATGTGTGCATGACCATGCCTGAATGTAAGTTAAATTTTTAATGTTGATTTGCATGTAGGGCAGAGGTCAGAGCGTGCATGTGTATGTCAGAGAAAAGGGTGCATGCTGCCACAGTCTCTGTCATTTCATGTGTGCATCAATCCTGCTGTGTTTAGAAGACCTTATTTCCTTGGTGTTCTCTATTCCCTTGGCTCTTACACTCTTCCTGCCTTCTTCTACAGGGTTCCTAGAGCTATGAGGTGACAGAATTGATAGAGACATCCCACTTAAGACCGAGTATCCCAAGGTCTCTCACAGTCTGCACATTGTCCAGCTGTGGGTTTCAGTTTTTATTCCCACCTCCTGCAGCAGAAAGCTTCTCTGATGGCAAGCAAAACCCTGATCTGTGAACATAGCAGAGTGTTCTTAGGAGCCATTTTATTGCTATTTTCCTTTTAGCATAACAACAGTACTTGGTTTTCCCCTAGGTCCCTTGCCGACCTAGTCTCAGTTTCATGGGCATCTGAGCCCCCTTTGGGATGGGTTCCACCTATGGGGTGAGCCAGTCAGATATGGGTTGGTTACTTCCACAAGCTTTGTGCCACTGTTGCAATAGTGCATCTTGCTGTTGAGGACTGAAGTGTTTATAGCTGGCTTGGTATTTCCCTTTCTTCTTAGGTAGTGAGCCTTCCAGAAGGCTCTGTCTAGATGGGCACCAGCTCAGCTTGTCTGTGTTCAGTGAGTTAGGGCCTTTTTTTTTTTCCCTCTGCTTTTATCTTTTGTAGAGAGCAGCCCATGGGTGCTGCTTCCTAGGGTGTTCCTAACCTCTTTACTCTGTACCTAACCTCGGTGCTTACATTGGTTGTAGCCTGCTTATCGAGACTTACCAGCTAACGTCCATGTAGTTGAATGTTTTTCTCTGTCTCGCCCATTTTCACTGGGCCAGTTCTTCTTCCACCCGCCAGGTCCCCATAGCCACTTATGAAACAATCACACCAAAGCTAACATTAAATTATAATTGTTTGGCCAGTGGCTCAGACTTATAACTGTATAGCTCTACCTATAAACTAACCCATTTCTATTAATCTGTATATTGCCACCAGGCTGTGGCTTCCTGGTAATGCTCCAACATGTTACTCCTTAGGCAGCTGCATGGCGCCTCTGACTCCGCCTTCATTCTCTCTGTGTCTTTGTTTGGATTTCCTGCCTAGCTCTATTTTTCCTGGCCATTGGCTGAAACAACTTTATTCATCAAACACTAAAAACAACACATATTTGAGGCATATGGAAGGACATCCCACATCACATCCATATATAAGTGAATACCATATTGTCTTTCTGGGTCCAGGTTACTTCATTCATGATTTTTTTTTTTTTTTTTAGCTTCATCCATGTATTTAAGAATTTCTAAGAATTTTATTTTGCTTTTTAACAGCTGAGTAATGTTCCAGTATGTAAATGTACCACTTTTTCCTTACCCATCCAGTCAATGATAGACATATAATCTGTGTGGTGGTTTGAAAGAAAATGGCCCCCGTAGGGAGTGGCACTATTATAAGGTGTGGCTTTTTTGGAGTAGGTTTGTCCTTGTAGGGGAAAATGTGTCACTGTGGCAGCCAGCTTTGAGGTCCCTATACTCAAGCTACACCCGGTGTCACAGTTGCTTCTGCTGCTTGTAGATGAAGATGTCGAACTCTCGGCTCCTTTCCCAGCACCATGTCTGCCTGCGTACTGCCATGTTCATCCATGATGATGATGGACTAAACCTCTGAAATTGTAATCCACCCGCAATGAAATGTTTTTCTCTATAAGAGTTGCTGTGGTCATGGTATCTCTTCACAGCAATAGAAACCCTAACTAAGACTGGTTGGAACATGAGGATGGGATATTGCTGTGATTGGCCTGACCATGCTTTTGTTTGGAGGAACTGAGACTTTGGTACTTCGGGTTTGGAAAGCAGTGGAATGCTTTAAGCACCGCTTAATGGGCTGTACTGGTAGGTGCATGGAAGCCAGTGGCGCTGAGAGTGATTTGAACTGTGGGAGCCCGGCTCAAGATGTTTCAGAAGAGAAGGGTTTAGTATGTTGCCTAGATACAGTTCTTGTGATATTTTAGTGAAGGATATGGCTGCTTTTTTCCCTTCTCTGAAGAGTCTGCTTGAGACTACAGTGAAGAGATTTGGACTAATTCCATTGGCAGAGGAAATCTCAAAACAGCCTATTGGACTCTGTCATGTGGTTATTATTGGTAACTGTAATGAAGATTTATAATGGAAAGAAGAAAGCTGAGCAAGGTAAAATGCACAGTGTACAATTTGAGGAGAAAAGGGGCACGAAGAAGTGAAATGGAGCCAAGTCCTGTGTTCAATAAGGTAAACAGACAAAGAAATGGAATAAAGAGAGTGGTAACCCTAGGACAAGATCCCACACAGCTAAGTGTCCAACTGGTGAAAAGGAATTGAAGTACAGCTCAGAGCCAGATGTGGTGGCGCACACCTTTGATCCCAGCACTCAGAAGACAGGGACAGGCAGATCTTGAGTTTGAGGCCAGCCTGGTCTACAGATCGAGATTCAGGACAGCGGAGCTTAGGCAGTGAAGGAAATCATTGAACACAGAAAGTTGGTAGAAATGTTATTGAAGGAGGGGGCCATGTTCCATCCCCAGCAACATAACTTGGCAGCTTCAGCCACATGATTCTGGCTTTAGAGTCAAGGTAGAAGAAACGGGTTATGGAATCTTCCTCTTAGACTAAGGAAAGCTGCTGGGGCAAGGCATGTGTGAGGGGTGGGCCGTTTTGTGAAGTTGTGAAGGTGAAGCCTGGTTTGCCTTGGAGACCCCAAGATGTTGGAGATGCCAGAACTTTGGGATACTTGCTGAGGAGAACTGCTAACAGGGGGAACCAGCCCAAGAGAAAGATGTTGCAGTTAGCAAAGCTGAGTAGAGTTGGAGAGCTGAAGAGTGTTTTGACATCAGACATGGAGATGCAGAGTTAGAAGTTTGCCCAGCTGGTTTTTGGTCTTACTTTGGTCCACTGTAATGGAGTGGAGACCTCTACCTAATTCCCTGTGGTATCCAGGGAAAGGCTGCCTGGGATGTTGGTGAGTGAGACCCTTGAGACAAGCTTACTTACGTCATTGTTTAGTGTTAGGTTTTTATCTTCTGAATAGCTTTTCTGGTCATTTCCTGACTTATTTGTTTTGTTTTGTTTTAATTAGATAATATAATCCCCTTCCTATTTCCACTTGAGTATATTTCTCCATTTTACTTAGAGCTGCTGTGTGAATTATTTTTACTATCCTAAATTGAAAGTATTTTATATTGAATTTATACTAGTTTAATTTCTGTAACTTAAAAAACTTAGTTCTTGCCAGGCAGTGATGGCTTATGC